GTACGCGAGCCTCTCACTGCTGTGGCCTCTCCCGTTGCAGAGCACAGACTCCAGACACGCAGGCTCAGCGGCCATGGCTCACGGGCCCAGCCGCTCCTTGGCATGTGGGATCTTCCCGGACCGGGGCACGAACCCGTGTCCCCTGCATCGGCAGGCGGACTCCCAACCACTGCACCACCAGGGAAGCCCGATCTTTCTGTTTTAATTTAGCCAAACCTTACCACTTTCCACCCTGAAGTAAACTTAAAACTCCTTATACTTAAAACACTTCCTCTTTGAGCTCTTCTCATCCAGATCCTGTAAGTTTTCGGGCATAATAGGTATCTACACAGCATATCTCCCAGAATGTTGCTCTTCACATGGAGAAAAAGACTTTGGAAGTGGATGGTATTAAATTTCCCCCCCGCCCCTAAGAAATCCTCCTTGCTCTTGTCACGTAACTGCTGTCTCTGCATCTTCTTGTCCCACCAAACGGCCACGTTTCAGAGAGTCAGGACAGAGAATAAATGGCAGGTTTCAAGATTTGAAAATCTAGCTTTCAAAGTATTCCAGAAGATGAGTACAGTGGATTGTTCTAATCCTTCCCAAAGGTTTCAGGAGGGAGTGGAGGGCAGTCTGTGGACAAACACATCACGCATTGTTGGTTTTATTTCCAGGGGTGTATGTCAGGTGGGTGTTTGAGGTTTTATTTCCTTAAGCTGCAGTGAGACTCCTGGAAAGGCCAAGTGTAAACAAATAGTCTGACATGCACCCTCCAGGGAGCCAGCTTCCAAATGCACTTGCCTAATGAAATTTCATTAATTGTGTACATCCTGTTAAAAATGCTGCCCTTCCTCTGATGAATTTCAGACTTCTGTCCGCCAGCCTTTTGTCCCATTTCATGATGAATATTAGTGACATATTTTATTTTAGTATCATGTTTCCACTTTTCTTCTGGAAAGGGATTTGACATGGCATCCATTTAATGACTGAAACAGTTGGGTCAAAGGTTTGATGTGATAGCTTAATTAAGTCATTGAATTGTGACAATTTGCACTTGCCAAAGCAGAAGTGTTACAGAGGGATTTTCAGTGAGCCTAATTGGAATGACAGCCTAGGTTTCAAGCCCTGGGTGTACAAACTTGGCTTCGTGGGATCTGATGGGTGGAAACCTGCTGTGAGAGGAAAGCAGTGTGCCCAGAGCTCCTTTCAACATTCTTTCACATCCACAAGTGTCTGCACTGGTTGCCTGATTCCCATCACCCTAATAGGAATTTCTTGAAGCATCTATGAGAAAGAGTGCACATTACTTCAAGGAATGATTAAAGCAAACAAATTCAATAAATATTTACTAAATACTTAATGTGTCCTCATTGCTCTGGGAGACACCAAGAGACCGTCACCATCTTCGGGGAAACTGGTTGAAAAGTTGGTTCAAATAAAAATGGCAGAAGTGACAGTGGGGTTGAGTTTATTTTAAATTAGTCTTGTCCAGCCACTGGATTTTCATGTCTTGGCATTTTTTTTGTGGGTCTGAGTCATAAATCTTTGTGTAGACCTATAATCATTTTTGTACATTTTTCACAATTTAAGATATTTTGAGGGCTTCCCTGGTGGCGCAGTGGTTGAGAGTCCCCCTGCCGATGCAGGGGACACGGGTTCGTGCCCCGGTCCGGGAAGATCCCACATGCCGCGGAGCGGCTGGGCCCGTGAGCCATGGCCGCTGAGCCTGCGCGTCCGGAGCCTGTTCTCTGCAACGGGAGAGGCCCCAACAGTGAGAGGCCCACATACCGCAAAAAAAAAAAAAAAAGAAAAAAAAGAGATATTTTGATAATGTCTTAATGAAATGGCTGATGCCTTTGTAATATTATGTGCGTGTTTGCATTTTCGTGTTTGTTTACAACTAGAAGTAAATGTTTTAAATCATCCTCAGTTACTTCTATTCTCTTGCTGACATTGTTCACATTAACATTTTTTTCCTAAATTATAAGATTGGTTGAAATCAAAATTTTCATTCTGGACAAGGAAGAAAAACACCAAAAGCATTCATATTCACGTAGTCCCCCCCAACCCCATCTGTTTTTCTCTCTGTTGATGATAGAAATTCAGCGCATGTCTCACGTCTGTCTCTGATTATAAGGTCCCTAGCTCAGGCTGGCTGTTGGGCATCCCGGGTCATAAAATAAAGTGATTCTCCAAGATAGAATTGAAAGTTTTCTACCTTAGGAAATCATAGACAGTTAAATTCCAGACAGTTAAAAATGTTTTTAAACAACATTTAAAAAACAGATTTATTGCCTTAGGGATGGTGAATGTGGAATTAAAAACAATTTCTTTTTTATAAAAGACCCATAGGTGATTATAGATTATACTGAATTATTTTCTATTATGTTATCAAACAGGTTTTTGTAGACTATTTTTAGAAATTATTTTCTAAAAACTAGAACTGAGCAAACTGTGACTATATAGTGATTTCATAAACATGTCAGTGATATTAAACATCTAAATTGTAGTATTTGTTTTCTTAGTGTTTCTATATAGTTTAGTTTGTATGTATTTAATACGAAAATAAAATTAATCTTGGAAATCACTGAAATTCCCTCCCTGTTCACTGGGAAATGTCTATTTTTCTCTCTGCTTACAAACAAAGAGAAAAAGAAAAAGTGCTCTGTATTATACATATATAACAAAATGTACCCCTATACCAATGCAAAAAATTGGATACAGAAATAGAATAATTTTGTTCATTTGAAAATACTTTTTATTGGAAAATCATTTCTTTTTTAAATGGTAGGATCCTTGGTGTATTTGAATTCTACATAATAGCAGCTAACTTACTGATGATATGCTAAATTTAAACCAGAAATATGGAGACAGTAGCCGGCAATCATCAACTTCGTCTATTCAACTTAATGGTGCCTCAGTTAAGTTCAAAAGTACGTTCTATGAGTGTGAAACGGCATCGTGTCCATTAGGTTTCAAGGTAGTTGAATTAGACAGAGAAGCCTATCAATATGAAAAGTGAGGAGGCCAAGAAAGACCAGAATCAAGGCTATCTCACTGAAATGCAAGTGAGACAGTACTTGCCTTGTCAAAACTGATACTTAAAACTTTGTTGTGGGGCTTCCCTGGTGGCGCAGTGGTTGGGAGTCCGCCTGCCGATGCAGGGGACGTGGGTTCGTGCCCCGGTCCGGGAGGATACCACGTGCCGTGGAGCAGCTGCGCCCGTGGGCCGTGGCCACTGAGCCTGCGCGTCCGGAGCCTGTGCTCCGCAACGGGAAAGGCCACAACAGTGAGAGGCCCACGTACCAAAATAAATAAATAAATAAAAAAGCGTTGCTGTGAATCAGACACTCCAAATGCATAGAGCCTTACAGATGGCTTGGAATATAATAGTGGTACAATTTTTGTAAAAGTCTGATAGATTAGCAAATGACAGTTTAAATTTATTATTTAATTCAGTTGTTTATCCATCAAACATTGATTGAACACTTATTTCTGGTGTGTATCAGGCAGTGCTGGTCCTGGAGGAATAAGCAAAAATATGGCATGGATATTCATTCATGCTGTATTTCTGTTATTTTTTCAGATATCTATATTCTGCTGTATTATCTGATTTCTAACTATGTGGGACTGTAGAATCTCATAATTAAAAAAATAATCTAGATGTCATTTAGAACACTGAATCTAAGCAGAACTGTATCTTCCCCTCTTAACAAAATCCACTTATTTATACTTCTTAAATATTTCTTTACAAAAGTACTAAATTACAGATTTTACAAAACACAAATCCATTTCTCTGTTTAATTTTTCGACAAAATGAAGTTAATTTTTGCCCTAGATTTACTAACTTTAGTAGTTCAAAAGTGGTCCATGTCTTGTGATATAAATTGATCTCAGTAGAAAATCTTCCTTTAACTTATATTTCTTTCTCCTCTTTTTTTCTCCCAATAGTTTTACCCAGCCACACATGTGGAAATCCTGGAGAAATACTGAAAGGAGTTCTCCACGGGACAAGATTCAACATAGGAGACAAGATCCGGTATAGCTGTCTGTCTGGCTACATCTTGGAAGGTCACGCCATTCTGACTTGCATCGTCAGCCCTGGGAATGGAGCATCGTGGGACTTCCCAGCCCCATTTTGCAGAGGTAGGTGCTGTACAGGGAGGGTGTGTGATGAGCTGATACCTGGACTCAGCAAATGGCTTTGGAATTGACATTGGAAAAGTTTCCACTTAATGAAAGCAAGACACATCACGCTGGGTCTTCCCATGTCAGCTCATTCTGTTCCCTAAAGCAATATTGTACGTAACCTAAGAAACCGTGGCTGCACCCTGTGAAGTCAATAACAAATTTAGATATGTTCCTTGAACATCCAAATTTTTCTTCATCCTGTTTCTCAAGCCTGTGGACTTCTACATATTTTTATCACTTACTGTCATAGCATTCTAAGATTTAATGCACACATTTATGGCCTCCTTGCTTTGAAGTTTCCTTTTTTACCTTTTTCTCATTAAAAATGGCAGATACCCCTTGATAAGTAAATTATACCGTTGGAAGACTCTTTCAACACTCTCGGGCTTTGGAGATAGACGATAAAGGATTGCACCAGTGCAAGTGTTCCTCGTGATTTGTTGCAAGATTAGAATCAGTTTTCTGGAAGCCTTGTGATTTTTAGTCTTTTCTGTGACATTATTTTCCTGATCCAGTAACTTTAGGAAAGGGCATGCTTTGACTCTTAGGTTTTGACATTCCTAAGAAAAAACTCACTTTATGGTTTCAAATGTAAAAGTGTAGCTTACATTCACTGAGGTCTTAATGTAATTCAGAAAGTGTGCTAAGTGCTTTACCTGAATCGTATCGCTGAATTCTCACAAAACCCCACTGAAATAATAAATACTCACACTCATTTAACAGGTAAAGAAGCACAATTTTAATTTTCAAAAGGTTCCAGAAGATAGCATATGATGAGTTAAGACACAAACCCCTGTCTGAATTTTTTTTATTGAAGTATATGGTTGATTTACAATATTGTGTTAGTTTCAGGTGTACAGCAAAGTGATTTGGTTACACCTATATATATATGGATATATCTATATTCTTTTTTTCAATTATTTTCCATTATAGTTTATTACAAGAACCCATGTCCAACTTTTTATTCATGTATGTAACCAGGCAAATCCACAGCCTTAGTTTAAGTCCTCATATCAAAATGTGTTGTTTTCATCCGTCTGTTTATATTTTCGTCTGTGCTATTTAATGAATACTTTTCTATTTTTTTTGTTATCTCTGTTACGTGTTGCAGTCTCGTGAGATCTTCCCAACGCTACTTATCTTAGTTATGGCATATTTGCTGCTACGACTGCTATTACTACAACTGCCATTATTACTACAGCTGGTAACTAGTACATATTGATTGCTTGTTATGAGCAGGCATTACTTTTCCACGTGTAATCTTCACAGTAGGTATTTTATTAAAGAAGTATTTTACACGTGAGGCATCTGAGGGTTACATGGGAAACATAACTTGTTCAAGGTATTCCAGCTGGTAAATTATCAGAGGTCAGATCCGCCATCTTCAAATCATCCCTGTGTCCTAGAGAAATTCCTGCTATGGATATTTTCTACCACACGCATCCATTACTCCTCCTGAAATGCTCATTTTCTTGCATGTTCCTCAGGTCTATTGTATCTCTCTTCTTTTTTTCCTTAGTGCTGTTAATTATTTTACATCTTCTATTGTCAAAAGAGTGGTGTCCTCAAAATCCAGATTTCTATGTCCCTTCCCTTGTCTTTTCACTGATTCCCTCAACTAAGTGATACTGTTTAAGGGCGCTGTCACTTGGATATCCTAAATGTATTCTTTTTTCCCTATTTCTACCACTGTGTATCTGATATTCACTCTGTGGAAACGTTGCAGTCACTCTCTCCATTTTGCCCTGCTTGCCCCTTTTATTCTGTCAGACTGTCTTTCACGTCTCCCCTTTCCCACTCCAGCTGTCCTGTTCCAGGTGTGTTTTCTTCTCACCCAGACCAGCTTCAAGCTGGTGAAATGAGCGCCACATCCAGAATCTCAGCCTTCATCCGACACCCTCCTCCTTAGTCCCGCTCCCAACATACACGTCTTCATCATCACCCGTCCTCTCTCAGCCAGACCACTTCAGTGACTCAACGAGAATTAAGTGCAAACCCTTGAAAACGCTGCCCCCGTGCTCCATCACCTCGTCTGAACTGACCTGTCCCCTTTCATCCGTTTGTGTTCCCAGACACAGATGTTATGCTATTGTCTCCACGCAATGCTTTGCTTGGTCTGACTTCCCAAAAGCCAACTGTGTGCGTCTCCCCCAAGTGCTGTGTTCCTCACACCAAGCTGTTGGCTTGGCATCCCCTCCACGGTGGGAGTATTGACACCAGAAATCAGCAAACTCGGCAAAGCAGAGTTTCTTCCCAGGAGTTCCTTAACCAGCTCACCACTCCATGCCTAAATCCAAACTGTCACTCATTTTTTCCTGTTATGAAGTTTTCCCTTTCATCTCCATTAAAGCCATAAATCTTACTTAGTTGTCAAGTTCACACTTAAGCCCAAATTTTAGTCACCTTTTTCTTAACCATTGCAACCCCTTTTTAAATTCTTTAAGAAAACCCAAGTCCTTTTGTCTTGAGCATTTATTTTGTTGCTCTTTTATATTTTAACCTTATGTCTTCAGCGTTTCCTCAACTAGTTTGTAAACCCCCGGGACATAATTTACAGTCATAAAAACTGTGTGACCGTGTCCTTGCTTCTACCTTAAAATTAGCCAAATCCATAGCTATTTACCCCTAATGCTGTACCTAATCCCCCATTCAAACATTTAATAGAGGAGTGGAAATATGCTGGGCATCAAATGAGGATTTATTATAAACTGGAAAATGCAAAAATAAATATTAACAGTAACTATACCAGTTTCTCTTTTGCTCATACCTCCCCAAGCATTTTCTTCTGAATTGAAGGGTCTTTACAAATTTCACAATTATAAAACTTACAAAGTCAAAGTTGATGTAACAGTCAGCTCATAATCTTTCCTATGTTGTCACCAGTTTATTAAATCCAAACCATATCAAGACGCTTTTATCATAATATTTATCTTTTCGTCTATATTATAGATTATTAAATTTATGCTTAAATTTTGCTTTTTTCAGTGCTTGGGATAGTAACATTTCAAAGGGCATTAAATTTGATATAATTCTTTTATGTAACAGATTTGAAAGATACAACACAGTTTGTCATTGATTTTGGATAACTGGATCATAAAGAAAAAAGTCGATAATGTAATTCTTATAAATGTGTAGATGTGGCATATCTGGAGGAGATAAATTAATTTCAGCGATATGGACTTAGATAATTTTAAAAAATGAAATGAGTATATTTTCTGCCTCCCCAACATCCTAGTTATTTTGTTCCGGGAATTGCTTGAGGAGTCATCTTAAAGTGCTGCTAACAGTAACACCACTGAATCTCTTTGCAATGACCTTTTCCTAGTGTTGACAGTTTTACATTGTAACTCCAAGTGGCAGTATTTAACCTGAACAATGACACTTAAATGTATCATTTCTACAGTCACGTGGTGCTCTTTAAAGAAAAAGGATGTAGCCATATATTTAATAAAGTCAGTGCATAATGAAGTGGGAGGTCAACCAGATTTACTTAAAATGGATTCCCTTAAACAGGAGACCAGCATCAAAACTGACTTCTTTCAAGGATGAGAGTTCAGATTGTCTCCTTCTGGAGGTGTGTCTTTGTCTTCCTCATTTATCCTTGAGTTTTCACCTAAATGTCTGTATCTTCCTTCATCTCCCTTCATTATTGCACATTGTTCCTATTGTCCCTCCCAATCTGTTTCTGTATTTGCAAGTGTGGTGTGTATTTAGAGGAGAAACATAAAAAGGGGAAAAGGAAAAAAAAAAAAAAAAAAAGCTAGATCTACTCAACGACGTATACTCCCAACTCAGAATTTAAATGCCTTCTTAATTTATGTTTCCCCTATTCTATTACTAAATCACACAGACTGTAATGTCACGGTCCAGGAATGATCATAAATGACTTTGAGCTCCAGGAGAATAGAGGGCCATAGCATATGAAATCCAAAAGAGAAGGTATTCTCCTTGAATGGAAAATTCGCATGGTGGGTCCTTGTCTCCAGGTTTGTGATAAGATTGTCCGAGAAGGCAGAAAGGAAGTAGGTCAGGAGCTGCCTTTGGAAAATGCTCCTTCGTAAGAAACCTATTGTCTGACGTGGAGAAATCCCCAGGGAGGAGTGGTCCTGTCCTCACGTTAGTCCACCATTAGGTGGGGAGCTTGTTCTGAAACCATCTCCCTTTGGTCCCTTCAGTGAGCATTTCCGTCCACTGCAGCTCTCCAATTCTGGATCTCATTTTTGAAAGCATTAGTGTGATCTTACGTCAACTGTCTTATTCCATGGATATAATCACATAGGAAATGTATACACGTTTGGGGACATGAGCTATATCTCTGGTCCTGGAAAAGGCTAGGCTCCTTTACGCTCTGGAAAGATGATAGGATGGTTGCATTAGGCATATGCCGCCTGAAATAAGCCAGCTCTAAGTAAACACTAGTCTCCTCAGCCAGAGATGCCTGCTCCCCCTTCCCCAAACATTACCTTCTGATATTCCTCAATTCTTTCAATGATGGAGCACTTTGTATTTGCAAAGTCTGCTTCAGAAAATAATTCTTAGCAGCTACTGCAGAGCTGAGATCCCTAAAGTCGTAGCTCTGGGCATTCCCATTCACAGGACTGTCCTAAATAACTTATTTTTGTATATTCTACGCTTCATAGATTAGCCTGTATTAACATTATGTGCACGACTCATAATGAACTACCATAGAAAGGCATCTAAAAATCATATGTATGCAATGTCAATTTGTAAATATGCTGAAACCCACAAATGTATGATCCTGTGTATACCTCAAATCACCTTGAGATGTATGCAGGGAAAGTAATAGTAGTCTTGTTTTGAAGGTAAGGAACTAAAGCTTCAACTGTGTTGACATATGTTGGTTTATGACTTGAACTTTGTAGCAAGGCAGCTGTCCTTCTGATTTTATCATTCTACTGTTACTAAATTTGATTAAGTAGCATTTGTACATAATT